GCAGACGTCCTCTTCAAATCGCACACGCGCGGGGCGAGCAACCTTCGCTTGCGTTTGTAGAGGCCTCCTCGATGGGGTCCGAGTAGATGGGTCGGAGAAGTATACAGGATCGCCCGCGCATCGCCGTTACATCGGCGACGTCGGCGACGCAGCGGCGACGTAGGCGTCGAGCAAATTGGGCCCCACATCGAGCCGCATCGCCGATGCATCGGCGATGCGGCGCAATCCTCCGACCCCGCCTACTCCGACATACTCCGACCCCATCTGGGAGGCCTAGAGCTTGTCCTCTGCTGCGGTCCTGGGGGGGCGGGGCGTCCCCGTCCGTGCCGTGCCCAGGGGCTGCAACAGCCCCCTCCCGCGGGCAAAGCACTCGTGGCACATTTTTAACGCGGAGCGCGGGGGCCATAGCTCTTCGCTTGCGCCGCCTGCTCCCAGCAGTCTGTGCTGCGCGGCGACGGAGAGGGAGGCAAGGAACGAGAAGCACGCAGGCGACGACGAACTCGCAGCCGGGTCCAACAGACCGTCGAGTCGCACGCGTCTGGACGCCCTGGGGATCTCCTTGCCTGGGGCCGGCTTCTCTTGTTGACTGCCTGGAGGCTGTGGCACGGCCTCCAGGGTCCGGCCACCACGACTTTTTCGTTGCGACGCCTGGGTCTGAGGGGTTAACTGCCAGCAAAGGGGTGTTTGCGAATCAGCTCACGTGCTCACGTGGCTGGTTTGGCGCCAGGGGGGGTGGCCAGTTCAGGGCCTGAGGGGTCGAAGCATCGAGCTGGAATCGGCGGTACGTCTCCGATAGATCCTGTGATACCCCCCCGATAGCAACACCTGCGAGGGGTGGGCTATCAGGCCCCTATCGGCGACGAATGGGCGCTTGGGGGTCGATGCGTTCCCCCCTGAGCCTATTCCCCCCCGATCTTGCCCCCAAGTCTCGTCTTCTAACTCGGCTCTCCAGCGGCCGTTCCGGCCGTGCACCCCCGAAGCGCTCTCGGCGAGGCGTGGCTGCTGGAGAGCCTCCCGAGGCTGGGGGACTGCCGAGCACCGAGGAGAAAGGGCCGAACACCTCAAACCTCGCCCCCCTCGCACGACCCGAGAGGTGCGGGGAGGGCTCGGGCCTGCCCCTGCGCCTATCCCCCCTGTCGCTGCCTCCCAACCTGGTCCCGAGCCCGAGCGAGCCCGAAGGCCGCTAGGGACCGAGGAACACGGCCGAACACGTCGAATCTCGCCCCCCTCGCCCGACCCGAGAGGTGCGGGGAGTGCTCCAGCCTGCCCCTGCGCCTGCGGCGGCAACGACCCCGCGCCGTGGCGGCTCAGCAGCTCCGCGCCACACGGCGGCCAGCCCGGCGGCCTGGCGCCTCCGGCGGGCGCTCTCGGGCGCGGAGAGGGGCCGCGAGGCATTGGCCGCACAGCGCCGGCGCCGACGCCGACGCGGCCGACGACGGCGCGGCGAGACTGCGTGGCGGCGGCGGCGAGGCTGCGCGGCGGCGGCGGCGCGAGGCTCCGCCACCAGGGTCGCGAGATCGAGGATGCCTGTCCCAGGGCGGCTGGCAAGTTTACAGCCCGACGCTGCCAGAGAAGGGGCATAAGCTTCCCAGCCACCTAAGGACAGCCCAGCAGCTCTAAGACAGACGTCCCCAATGGGGGAGAGGTTTAATTTTCTTGCACAGCTGTGTTCTAGAGCTCAGACCTCTTTATTTTCGTCGTCGTCGTTTGTTCGTTCGTCGTTCGTCCTCCCCTCCCCCCGGCCACGGAAGGAACTCCTGGAGGAAGGGAGCGAAAGCCTCCTGTCCCTCTCAGCTCCTTTGGTGCAAGAGCCAAGGCGCGCGTGCCACTTGTTTATACCGTTCAGTGCCCGCTAACCTTTGGCCGCACAGCGCTGCCGCCGACGCCGACGCCGGCGGCAGCGAGGCTACGCGGCGGATGCCGTCCGCCGCCCAGGTCACGCTGGGCTCGTTCGGGCTCGGGACAAGGTTCGGGGGCAACGACAGGGGGCGAAAGGGCTCAGCGGGGGATGCAGCGACACCAATCCCCCGCTCATCCCCGATAGGGGCCTGATGTGGTCCGCCCCGCAATGGAGGGCCGATCGCCGATCTATCGGCTATGTACCACCGATACCAACTCGATGTTGTCACCCCCCTGAAGCGGTCCCTCCCGATCGCTCCCCGCACAAACTTACCGGCCAAGTGGTAGAGCTTCGGGGTCCGCTTCTGCTCGTCGGAGGCCTCGGGGGTTCGTGAGGGCCTTTAGGAATTCTCCATTGCCGGCTGGGCGCAGCTCGATCTTTTCAATGTGGACGTGCGACGGGTCCAGGCGCCGGTTTTGAGCTGCCGTCGTGGTTGTCGTCGTTGTCGTCGTCGTCGGGGCAGCCGTGCCCTAGTGGCAATTACTCCATACGTATGCCCGCTGTGCCATACTTGCAGCGTCCATTCGCTAAGCGGTAACTGCGGTATGCAATTGACCAGGAGCCGGTCTCCAAGAGGTTAAGTAAAGCAATCTGCAGTATATATGGAATGCTGAGCTGCCACCCACCATACCTTCTCACATGAGCCATGACATAATCGATAACGACATGGTACATAGCTGCCTTATTCAATGGTACGGGAAGAATGGGTAAGACAAAGATCAACTGCAGATCTGTGGGCCGGAAGGGGCGACGCACATCATGGTCACGCAGCAACTGTGAACATACAAACACCACTACAACTCCGACCGACCCTCCTTCAAATCGACACGGTCACGTGGCGGCTGTGGGAGAGGATGGACGAGGATGGATGAGGATGGCATCATTGTATCTCGGAGCGGATGCCAGGCTATGTCGAGACGCACCCTGCCGTCGTTGTCTCCTTGGATCCCGATGGCATGGCTTCTAAAATGATTGGCACGATTCGTGAATTTGATCAGTTAGCTCAAAAACAAAATGCACTTGATGTGCAGCATTTCGCATGGCTTGCGGAGTGCTGGATGCCCAGCGAACATCAGCGCATAGGGCACGATTCCTACGTATGCAGTGCCTTGGGATATCTAGTTCGGCAGACCATGAAATGCAAAAGCACGATGTCGTAAGGACACGGTGTGCGGCGCCCTCACTTGCCCAGCAGACCAGCACAAGCTTGCAGATCTGACGAGCGCAATGGCTCTGCCATAAACAAATATGAGAGTGGAAGAGATCCGAATTATGGCATGCCGCGGGTCCATGACTCATAGACGAGGGTGCAGCAACGACGGGAGAGGCCAGGAGATGCAGAGGTGGAAGGTGTGGGAGGTGACCAGAGGGGTTGAGGAAAGGCGGGGACGTGTGCGGACGGGTAGCGAAGGACAGGGGTTGGGAGGCAGAGGAGGGGAGATGAATGAGGACATCACGACACGCAGCGACCACGTGTGCGATCAATCGGGTACCCACGTCTCACCTCGTTCCCGCACCTGCTACTTCTGATCCACGTCCCCGCGAGCTCCCCGCCCTCCTGCTTCTCCTTTCCCCCCTCCCCTCCCCCCCCCGCCCGTCCCCAGCCGTCGTGCCACCAGGAGAAGCGCCAACCCAAAAAACGAAGGGGGCTTCTCGGGCCACGGCGAGCCCCAGCCACAGGCACGCTCCCCGACCCAGATCTGAGGCATGCCCCGAGCACGGGAGCCGCCCCCCCCCCGAGCCCAGGGTGGCCCTTGCCTCGGCACCCTGACCACGCTCCTCCGCCGCACCCTCGCCCCGCGAGACTGAAAGAAAAAACCTGCACAGCCAAAATTAGTTGACGGTCCGCGCGGAGTTCTTGGATCTGCACTGGACCCCCTGGCGGCGCCTCCGGCGCCACCACCTGCGCGCTCCGCGCGCCAGGGAGGGGGGTCCAGAACAGATCCAAGAAATCTGCTCGGACCGTCAACAGTTTATGTTTATGCTGCTTTTCTTCTTCGAGAGACGGCCATGCTCCCAGCCCTAGTGGGCGGGAAACACGTCCGTATCCACAGCCTCACGGGCTGGGCTCCCTGGCCGCGCATCCATAGCATCGCGCCCCGGCATCAATATGTCCGCCACTAAAATATATACCCAGACGCCCTCCGACGAACTTTGCATGTACCTTCAGGGAGGGTGGCGGCGTATAAAGTCGCTGGCTCTCAGCGGCGATTTATACACCGCCAGATCTCCCCATGAGGCCCAGGAACAAACCATTGGAGGGTGCCTGTGCCTATATATTTTTGTGGCAGAATATGGACCCTGACATCCTCCGATGAGATCTGTTCGATGTGTAGCCCCTAGTGGTCCCGACCTCGTCCCCAAGGCCAGTGTTTCGCCCCCGGCTCCGCTTCTGATGGTCCCCAGGCCCGAAAAAACGTCCCCCCGAGGGCCGATTGATCGAGGAACAGCGCTGGGATTGAAAAGATCATATGGAAGACATCCAGATGGGGTGCGAGTAGATGGGGTCGGCGGATCGCGCCGCATCGCCGATACATCGGCGCGATGCATCGGCGACGTCGGCGATGCGTGGGCGGTGTCAGCGTGGAGATCATCGGGCTCCATCTCGAGCCACATGGCCGATGCATCGGCGATGCGGCGCTATCCTCCCCCCACCCCATCTACTCGGACCCCGTCTGGGAGGCCTACCCAGACATCTGCCATCTCGCTTGTTTTTGGAAACACAGACCCCCGACATCTCGACCACTGCACCGGGACCGTTTTTTCATCCCGAGCCGTTCTTTGACGGCCCCGAGGCCCGAGTGGCCCCGAGAGGCCGACAACGATGAAAAACTTCCACCTCGATCTTCTCGAGACGCAGGATGTCTGGGGAGGCCTACAGTCAACCCGTATAGTAAGGATGCGCGATAAGGATACAAGGGCCTTGGATGCCCATTTTTTAACTTTTCGAGCGGGGCGCGGCCAACGAAAGTGGCGAAGAATAGACCGAAGACGCAAGGATGCAAGGGCACCCGTGATCACACCGTCGGAGATCTTGGGATGCGTTCGTGGCTGGCGATGCCCGCCGCTCGCAGCCACGCGCCGGCGCAACGCCGGTGCCCTACGGCGCGGCCGCGTCAGCCCTGGGCGCCAGCGTCTGCGTGCGCTCCGGTGGGTGCCCGATGGTCAGCCTCGCTGGCCGCTGCCCCAGGCTCGCCTGCCCGCGACCCCGATCATTGGATAACCCTATGCCGGTGGGATTAATCGCCCAGTGAGAATAAAGTTCGGGGCCCAGGGAGGATCATAACCTTTTTCCTGGTGATATCGATGTTAGGATGTCTGGATCGGTCTTCCCGAAGATCAGAGCTACGATAGGAACTTTGGAGGGGATAAAAAGTTCGGCATCCACGCCTGTTGTAGCAATTGAACCACATTGAACCCCGTGAATACACAGATACAAGGGTCAAAGGGGGAGATACTTCATTATCCGCAGGTTGCAGTTACTAGATTTGGAACGGTTGGCCGCGACCGACGAAATCGGTCGCTACCGATTTTGCGCCAAGTTCCAAGATCTGTCGAAAACCGATGTTGGAATCGTGCGGGATCGGTCACAAGAGGCTTGAAATGTCGATCGGTCGCTACCGACCGCCACCGAACACATCTGGTATCCAATGACCTGGGGAAATCATAATGGAGATTGTTCGTCAATTTCGGCCACTTGGGGGGGCCCTCGCCAAGCCCTGGAACCGTCAAAATCGACTCAAGATGAAAAGCGGGGGAAGTGGTCAGGACTCCATGGGCCCCAGTATTGAGAAAGTCAAGTCATCGGATCTCTGGGTACCCACCACCTCGGAGTCGTGGCCTGAGACTTCGAAGATCTCGCCAGCAGCGATGGATGATTGCGGATATCTGCCCGCCCATTGGGGCGGGGAAGCATCCGCACTCACCGCTCCCGAAAGATCCTTGGCAAGACTCCGTCAGCTGTGGATGTGGTCATTCCCTCGCAGTGCAACCCCAGACATCCGTCGTCTCCAGAACATCGGACAACTGTTGTTCATCATGTTCGGGCTCTCGGGGCCCTTCCCGGGCCTCAGGGCCGTCAAGAAACGGCTCGGGTTGCAAAACCAGTCCCGGGGAAGTGGTCGAGAAGTCGGGTGCTCGTGTCGGAGAGACGTAAAACTCGGGTACGGGGGACTCGGGTTGGCCTGACTGGGGCCATCATAAAAATGACGAGACCCAATCTGAAATTTGACGCGGGCTCCCGCTGCACACATCCCACGAAAACGGGACCGTCAAAATCCAGGACGCGCTCGTCAGAAAAAAAATCGGCAAACCCGAGTTCTGGCTTGCTCGAATCTTACGTTTCCCCGATCTTGTTTCGCAAGCATCGAGACGCCTGATGTCCGAAAAGGTCTGCACAGAACGAGCGGGGATGGAAGACTTGGGGCGTTCTGGTGCATTTTGGGGGCCTCTGGAGGTCTCTGGGTGATGTGTGTTGGTGAGGGTGTTGTCAGCGCTGGAGTGAGGGAAAGGGGTCCTGGTTGGTTCTGAAGCCGAAAACTGTCCATAGGATCAACTTTTCATCCCGAGTTCTGTTCCGACGGGTGGGAGCCAACGAGCGGCGAAAACCCTGCATGTCCCCATTTCTCTAGGACACCTTCCCATTCACACTGACGTGAGATTCCTCCATCGTATCCCCCTCCAAACTAACAACCAGACACTCCTGGGGGTGCGCTTTGTCACGAAATTCAAAGGAAAGCTTCCGAGAAGAAGTCGAACCAAAAAACGAAACCGAGGCGGAAAAACGTAAGACCACCTCGAACTCCGAAGCTGCTCCCCGAGCTGGACCTCGACGGCACCGGTTATTCGCCACTGTTGGGCAGGCGACGTCTGTGGCGACACCGACAGTTGCTCTGGTAAAGAACAATCAGGAATTGCTGCTTGTCGTCGTCACCCTTTCTCCGCCCCGATTTCCGGGGATTTTGCTACAGGCTGCCCTGTCCCAAGGTGCCCCTCAACTTTTCATGTGTTGTTGCCCCCAGGGCCTCGCGAGGGGTGCTCTGGATGCCGCGGCGGCCTGCCTGGAAATCCTGGGTACGCCCTGGCGCCTTGGGTCAGAAACACTTTCTTGGCAACGATCGACGTTCCCACACATCCGGCGTCTCGTGTTTTTCGAGACGCGGACCCCGACCTGTCGACCACTTCCCTGGGACCATCCCGAGCTGTTTCTTGACGGCCCAGAATCCCGGCAAGGGCACCGAGAGGCCGAAAACGAGGAAACAGGCCCACTTTTTTTTCGGAGGGGGAGACGACGGACGTCTGCGTGTGGATCGCACCGATCCCCGGGCGAGGCCTCGACCGCACCGGCGTCCAGGCCTCGTGCGGGGCCTGCCGGCGGCACGACGAGGGGCGAGCCCAGCACGTTCCCGATGTTGAGCGGGTGCTTCACGCCAGGCGACGGCGTCGGGGCCTGGGTCCTCTGGAGGTTCCAAAGCACAAGGGTCAACGATCGATGACCACAAGGAAAACGAGATCAGCTCAGCGCCTCAAAATGCACGGTGTTGGCATCTACCGAACTCGCGTGAAAGCTCCACGGAGAACGACGTGACTTCCGTCGACAAGAAAAGAACTAGGAATCAGAAGACGACTGGGAACCCGTCGGGTGGGTCAAATACAGCCATCGCACTACCACGACGAACGCCCTCGGCCGCGAATAGAAGCCCCCTGGTCAGATCTGGTGAGCAGCCCGGAATCAAGGGCCCCTCCTGAAACCCAAGTGGCCCGTACTTGAGCGTCCTAACTGTGAGTGATTTGGGGTGGGCGGGCGGCTTCCGAGACTACGGGTGGGATTGTTTTTCAATGCCGGCGGTGTGCCCTCCATTGCGGCCTCCGGGGCCCGTCTTCAGGCCCCCGAGCAATCAAAGTAGCTTCACGGTGAAGAACGACCCTCCAGAGACCCAGAGAAGAGGTAGATCCCTCTGCAAGGCGCGTGGATTGAACAATCGCATCGCCAGATGTCCCGTAGGATCCTTTGCGGTGAGCCAGCGGTCTTGGGGACCCTCGCCCCCCCCCTCTCGTGCGGAGCACACGGAGCGGCAAGACGCTGTCTTGGGTTCTGTGCCGTGTCGCTCCGCCCCGCGGGGAGGCTCGGGAAGGCTCGGGACGCTGACGGCTGGGCACTGGGAACTGGATAGCGTGTCGCGCCGAAGCGCGGTGGGCCAAAACTGGCGCAACGTCACGCCATCCACACATTCCCGACCGCACACGTCAGCTCCGGACCCAGGACTGGTGCAGGCGCACAGCTGGCGTCCTCCGACCTCCTCGCGCCGCTCCCCGCCCCCGGGTCCTCATGTGCTCGGGAGGGTGGCCCACGACTGGGTGGCTCACGACCACCTGCCGGCAGAAAGCCCGCCCTCCCCCCGGCCCTGGGAGCGGCGCGGTGCGCCGCGCTGCCCTGCCCAAGGGCTCCCGCCCTCCGAGCTTCTTCGGCGCCCGAAGCTCAGGCGCTGGATTTTCGGGAACGCTACAGCGGAACGGCTCGGAAACACGGCTCTGCCTTCCGCCTCTTCCGTCCTCTTCCTCCTCCCCCATTCCTTTCATCCCTCCCTGCCCCTCCTCTCCCCCCTTCCTCCCTCCTCCCATTCTCTCTTCCGTCCTCCTCCTCCTCCTCCTCCTCCCTCCCTCCCCCCTTCTTTCCTACCCCTCCCCATTCCTCCTCCCTTCTCCTCCTCGTCGTCCACCTCCACCTCCTCCTCCTCCTCCTCCTCCTCCTCCTCCTCCTCCTCCTCCTCCTCCTCCTCCTCCTACCTCCTCCTGCCCTCCGCCTCCCCCTATCAGCCTGCCTCCTCCCTCTTTCTTCCATCTCCTTCCTCCTGCTCCCTCATACTCCCTCCTGCTCCCTCCTTTTCCTCCTCTTCCTCCCCCCTCCTCCGGCTTCCTCTCCGAAGGCCATACTTTATGACTGCTTTATTGTTGGGCTAATGCCGTTGAAGAACGCTTGCTTTCTCATGGCATGCACTTGCCGAATATGCCTGACATTAGTTTCCAAACAATTCCAGACGGCCTCCACACGGCCCAGAGACAGCCCAGAGACAGCTCATGAGAGACCAAGCATTGCCCGAAGATCATGCAAGAGCGACCCAACAGGGCCCCAAGACAACCCCAAGACAACCCCAAGTCGGCCGACGACTGGCCCAAAGCGGCCTGATGCCTCAGATATCCGCAGGCATGTATCTGGAGGCCCCTCCGAACACTGCAAGTCCCCTCTAACTGCCACATCGATACTCCTAAGACGGCCCGAACACCTGGAGAGGTCCCGAAGAAACACCCGAGAGGGCTAAAACATGCCCTCGAGAGGCAAAACATCTTTAGGGTACGCATCAATACTTTCAACACGATTTCTGGGCACATAGGGCTTTTATAATGGTCAATGCGGGCGCGAAATAATAGTCCACGATGGTCCAATACCGACACATGACGATCCCAGGTCGGCCCCAAGAAGGCCGAGAACCAGCCCAATACTGACCGAGACGCCTCGATGGAACCCCCGGAGTGGCCCAGAGAACGACACGAAAATGTCCCGGCCCTGGTCAGATATATGTCCAACCGTTGCTTGCACGTGAAACTACGACAAAAGCCACGACGTGTTGCGATCCATTACGGCGTGCTCATCCAAACTGGTTCAAACCAGAAGTATTCAGACGCACCTTAAGCAACATGCATACACACTGTTACTTTGTGCGGACACGTGTGAGTGATGGCACGATTGACCCGGAACGGCCATCTCCACTCTGTGACCCCGTGCCTTTTTTACAGAAGTGTGGCCAGAAGACGGGTTCACAAGGAAACACTGACTGCCAACACATTTAGGTGATGTCGGCCTTGCTGTAGCGGTCAATCTATCGCTTGGCGCACACTTCCGAAACGTAATTCTGGCACGTCCACTCACCACATCCAACTGCGGACGGCAAGTGGATTTCGCTCACAATGCATTTTTTCATGAGGAAGCGGAACCTGAGACCCCACACCAGCGAAAAGGAAACTCACCACAGCCATCCAGGGGGGTGCAGGATCTGCTGATTTGTGGGATGCTTGCTTGCAGGGTGCCCCACGACAGCGCCTTTGAAAGGGCCCACGAAGACCACCACCTTTGACTACACCTCTGCCCCCTCAGGTGGTGGTGGGGGTCCTGCCTGCCCCAACCATGAAATGGGGTGGAGGAAAACGAAGAGGAAGAACTACGAAACGATCACTCAGGCCCGCTCAAAATCGGAGCCCAAACCCCTTTGCGGA